AATATAGGCCGTTTCTCCTAGGTCCTTCATAGAAAATTGCGTTCCTAGCCAAGACTTAACGTCTTGCAGGATAGGAACGTCATTCCCTATAAGGAGAATGTCATCCACGTACAGCACTAGAAATACAACTGTACTCCCACTAGCCTTCTTGTAAACAAATGGCTCGTCTTCATTCTGTGAGAAACCAAACCTTTTGATTGTCTCATCAAAGCGAAGGTTCCAGCTTCTCGAAGCCTGCTTCAGTCCATAAATGGACCTTTAAAGCTTGCACACCATCCCCGGGTTCCTTGGATCGACAAAACCTTCGGGTTGTGTCATGTACACATCCTCAGTCAAGTTCTCGTTAAGGAACACGGTCTTGACATCCATTTGCCATATCTCATAGTCGTAATATGCGGCTATGGCAAGTAGGATCCTGATGGACTTCAGCATATTTACGGGCGAAAAGGTCTCATCATAGTCAATACCATGAATTTGACGGAATCCTTTCGCCACAAGTCGTGCCTTATACGTGTGCACATTGCCATCCATGTCGGTCTTCTTCTTGAAGATCCACTTGCATCCGATGGGTTTTATCCCTTCAGATGCATCAACTAGAGTCCATACTTGGTTGTCTGACATGGATTGCATCTCGGACTTCATAGCCTCGCGCCATTTCTCGGAATCCGGACTCGCCATAGCCTCTGGGTATGTGGTAGGCTCATCATGTTCCAATAACATGAGCTCCTCATTCCCAGTCACGAGAAATCCGTATCTCACAGGCTCTTGGCGAATCCTGCCTGATCTCTGAGGTTCACTCGTCGAAGGTTGAGTCACAACCGGCAGTGAAATAAGTTGAACTTCTTCAACTTGTTCACTCGGCTCAGCGTCTACTTCATGCTCTCGAACTTCCTTAAGTTCGATCCTACTCCCACTTACTCTTTTGGAGACGAACTCTCGCTCCATAAAAGTCGCATTCCTAGCAATGAACACTTTGTTCTCTATCGGAATATAGAAGTAGTAACCCTTAGTTTCTTTAGAGTAGCCTACAAATAGACACTTATCAGATTTGGAGGATAACTTATCAGTCATCTGACGCTTCACATAAGCGTCGCAACCACA